GAAGTGTGGATACAGCTTGTATGCTTATCTTTGTAGAGTGTGGATATAGCTTGTATGCTTATCTGTGGGTATTGTTGATATACATATCTGTTGTAGAATGTGGATACGGCTTGTATGCTTATCTGTGGATATTGTTGATATACATATCTGTTGTAGAATGTGGATATAGCTTGTATGCTTATCTGTGGATATTGTTGATATACATATCTGTTGTAGAATGTGGATATAGCTTGTATGCTTATCTGTGGATATTGTTGATATACATATCTGTTGTAGAATGTGGATATAGCTTGTATGCTTATCTGTGGATATTGTTGATATACATATCTGTTGTAGAATGTGGATATAGCTTGTATGCTTATCTGTGGATATTGTTGATATACATATCTGTTGTAGAATGTGGATATAGCTTGTATGCTTATCTGTGGATATTGTTGATATACATATCTGTTGTAGAATGTGGATATAGCTTGTATGCTTATCTGTGGATATTGTTGATATACATATCTGTTGTAGAATGTGGATATAGCTTGTATGCTTATCTGTGGATATTGTTGATATACATATCTGTTGTAGAATGTGGATATAGCTTGTATGCTTATCTGTGGATATTGTTGATATACATATCTGTTGTAGAATGTGGATATAGCTTGTATGCTTATCTGTGGATATTGTTGATATACATATCTGTTGTAGAATGTGGATATAGCTTGTATGCTTATCTGTGGATATTGTTGATATACATATCTGTTGTAGAATGTGGATATAGCTTGTATGCTTATCTGTGGATATTGTTGATATACATATCTGTTGTAGAATGTGGATATAGCTTGTATGCTTATCTGTGGATATTGTTGATATACATATCTGTTGTAGAATGTGGATATAGCTTGTATGCTTATCTGTGGATATTGTTGATATACATATCTGTTGTAGAATGTGGATATAGCTTGTATGCTTATCTGTGGATATTGTTGATATACATATCTGTTGTAGAATGTGGATATAGCTTGTATGCTTATCTGTGGATATTGTTGATATACATATCTGTTGTAGAATGTGGATATAGCTTGTATGCTTATCTGTGGATATTGTTGATATACATATCTGTTGTAGAATGTGGATATAGCTTGTATGCTTATCTGTGGATATTGTAGTTATGCATATCTGTTGAGAATGTGGACATAGCTTTTATGCTTATCTGAATGTGAGATATAGTTCTTATACATATCTGTGGAAATGATGATAGAGCGAGCATGCTTATCTGTTAAAAAGGGAAAAATGAAAAGTAATTGGGACTTGTAAGTCGTTGACATAAATATGTAATTTATGTGATTGTATCAGTGTTGACCAACTATCAATTGCTAATGTTTTAGTCATTGTCCATGGTTGGTTTAGTGTATTTCTACTGGGCTGCGGCTCACCCTATATGGGAATATCATTTTCAGGTACAGGAAGCATGCCACCTCCAAGGACATAGCTTGGGAGGCTAGAGGCGGACATAGTGTAGTTGTTTTACTTTTGATGTATTACATGTAACTTCAAGCCAAGGGCTTAATGTGTAAACGAGTTAGAACTCTTTGTTGTAACCAAGTGTTAACTTGGAAAGCTGTAAGCCCGTAGGGCATTTTGTTATGAGGTTAACATGTAATACTTATGTCTTGGAATTCTGATGAATGTCTTATCTGATGGGTTTATTGTTATTATTTTGAGGGCGTTACACAACTTCTACGCAGTACACAACTATTTGTGAGGGGAGGTCAAACAATTCAAGTTTTGCTTGTTGACATTTAAAAAAATTCAAGTCTATGCGTAGCGTTATATGAACAGAAATTACAAGCGTAATTATTTAATTTTTTCAAACTAGTTGTGCTTGCTTTCAATGATGCCCACTTATTAATAATATTTTTCCTCATTGTTCTGTAGTTAAGTCATTTATTAATAATATTTCTCTAGAGGCAGGCGCGACGAGGAGGCCAGCATTTGCGCCTGCCTCTAGGGAAAAGAGAAAAAGAAAGATTCAGTTAGAAAATATATATATATATATGTTTCCATCTAGTAAACCACAAGTTGTGAGGGGAGATGCAACAATTCATGTTTTGCTCGTCATTCAAAAATATTTGTGTCATTGCATAAATATGGAACGAAATTACAAGCGTAATTATTTAATTTTGTAGATCTAGCTATCTCCGCTTTCTGTCGATGATGACTACTTTTGAAATAATATTTTTACAACTTCAACTTGTTTGCAATAACTTGAAACCCATTGACCACAACTTATAAAATTTTCAAATGTTACCGAAAGCTGATGGATCAATCGGTATGTCCGGTAGGCCAGTACCAGCTCCTGCCATTGTAAAACAAAGACAGTGTTTAAAAAAAAAAAAATCAATTTCTTATCCAGTAAAGACCTTGTTCAGAAGAGAGGTCAAATAATTCAAGTTTTACTTGATTAAATTCAAAAAATATTTTTGTCAATGGATAATCTTACAAAAAAATAAGATTAGATGTGCAATTATTCGATTTCGTCAAACCTGTTGTCTTCACTTGCTTCCGACAATGCCCAATTCTTCATAATTTTTTCTGCAATTTTTATAAAGTAAAATCCAACTTAATGATCAAAACTTGTAACCAAATGATTACAACTTACTAAATTTCAATCATTACCGAATGCTGGTGGATCATTTGGCGCATCGAGCAAGCCAAAATCTACGCACGCCATTGGCAAGGGGAAAAAAAAAAAAGAAGAAAAGATAGTGTCGAAAAATAATCAGTTTCAACCCAGTATACAACTATTTGTAAGGGAAGGTCAAATAATTCAAGTTTTGTTTCTTGACGTTCAAAAAATTGATGTCATTACATAACGTTACATGAAAAGAATTTACGGCAGTGAGATAATATAATTTTGAGATTCTAAGTATCTCTGTTTCCTTCACATAATACCCTATTCTTAATAACATTTTTCCCCATTTTTGTATGGTAAGTCAATTATTAAAAACTATAACTTCAACCCATTGATCAAAAATTGCAACCCATTGACTACAACTTAAAAAATTCCAATTCATACCAAGCTCTGGTGTGTTAATAGGTGCAACAAGCAGACCAGGATATACGCCTGCCATTAGGAAAAAAAAGATAGTGCAGAAAAAATAATCAATTTATGTTCTGCAAAGCACTATTCATGAGGGGAGGACAGATAATCCAACTCTTGCAACTCAACATTCAAAGAAATTCATGTCATTGCGTAATGTTATATGCACAGATATTACAAGTGTGTAATTATTTAATTTTGTCAATATAGTATCTCCACTTGCATCCCATAATGCCCTATTCTTAATAATATTTTTTGCCATTTTTGTGCAGAAATGCAATTATTAAAAATTAGAACTTAACCTATTTATCAAAACTCGCAATCCGTTCACTACAACTGACAAAATTTCAATTCTTACCGTCAATCGGAGGGCCAAGCAGATCATCATATATGCCTACAATCGGAAAAAACAAAAGACAGCGTTCAAAAAAAAATCAATTTGTCCCGTAAAAAACTATTTTTGAGCAATGTCAGACAATTTAAATTTTGCTTGTCATATTCAAAAAAACTTGCAAAATTTAAGGTCTATACCGAATCCTAGTGGCCCAATCGGGCCGAGCAAGCCACCATCTATCTCTGGCACTGGAAAAACAAAACAAAACAATTAGAGATCGTGTTGAAAAAATAATCAATTTCTACCCAGTACACAACTATTTGTGAGGGGAGGTCAAATAATTTAAGTTTTGCTTGCTGACATTTAAAAAAATTCAAGTCAACGTGTAGCGTTCTATGAAAAGAAATTACAAGTGCAATTATTTAATTTTTTCAAACTAGCTATGCTTGCTTTCAATGATGCCCACTTGTTAATAATTATTTTGAGACTAACATTTTGAGACAATAAAAATAGAATAAGAGACTAATATTTTGAGACGGAGGGTGTACTGACATTACTTCAATCTGTTAATTAACATAACCGTGAGCTAGGAGAGGGATTAAAATTTAGAAAAATTTACCTATAAATCTAATATGGTGAATGTTGATCTATTTAGTATTAAAAGTTTTTTTTATGAATCAATTAGTTCTTTTTGTTTTAGAAAGTCGTATTTATTTGATTTAGTGCTATTGAATTTAAGTGAATGCCCTTTATGATTCATTTTTTCAATTTTCTAATTCGTTTTTGGCATGGGAACGGAAAGGTAAGGTTGTGGAAAATTCTTTTCAAGCGTGGAAATATACATTTTTATTAGTGTATTTTTTGGTATTATATTGAAGTGCTACATTAGAGTACTACATTTGGAAAAAGAAAATACACTAAGGCATTTTTATATGTTAAATTGTTTGGAGTGTTACGTTTGGAAAAAAAATACGCTAAGGAATTTTCTTGGAATGTTACATTTTTACGTTTGGGAAAAGTACACTAAGGAGTTTTTGTGTTACATTGATTGGAGTGTTACATTTAGAAAAAGTACACTAAAAAGTTTTTATGTGTTACATTGATTGGAGTGTCACATTTGGGAAAAATACGCTAAGGGGTTTTCTTGGAATGTTACGTTGTTACGTTGGAAAAATACACTAAGGAGTTTTTATTTGTTACATTGATTGAAGTGTTACGTTTGGAAAAAAAATACACTAAAGAATTTTTTTGAAATGTTACGTTGTTATGTTTGAAAAAAGTACACTAAATAAACTTTTAATGTGTTACATCGGAATGTTACGTTTAGAAAAACTCACATTTGTCTCTCAACACAAAGCACATGCCCGTTCATACTTAACCCTTTATGTAATTCACATTAGAATATGACTTTTGAATCCATTAATTAAAAAACAAAATAAAAAAAATGACCAAACAGTTCTTAAAATCACTATTCGAGATTTTTATTTATTTATTTTTTATCAGCAAATGTTAGTTGCTAGATTAGTACCTATGGGAAAAAAATCTCTCAATCCTTAACAAAACATCTAAATGCTTGCACTCCCTTAATTCAACTCCTTCAACCAGGAATTGAACCCATGACCTCCCTAGGGACTAAGCCCTAAGAGCATCCACAATGAGATGGCTAAAATTGTTTATTAAAGTGTGTTATATGACAAAAAGAAACAAAAGTGAAGCCTAAAAAATGTGTGGTAAAGTGTGTTAAGAATTTGTTAATTTTAGAGAGTGAGCGATGGTGCAATGAATATGTTAAGGTGTGTGTTAAGAATATATATATATATAAATGCGCACCACAACGGATTGGGTCGTCCACCGGGACAATTTAACATGCTCGGGGGGTATCCACATGCGTTAAACAGTTCGGACCCTTAAGATCTCTTTGATCTAGTCTCACGAGTGCAATGTGAAACGTAGATGAGAGTCCAGATTTGGCAACTTTTATTGAAAATCCATTTTATTGCAAATATATTTATTTTTTCTTAAATAAAAGTATGTGATAATTTGACTACTCAGCTGTTTTTTTTAATTATTTATAACTCGGGTGTCGGGTCAGTTGTTTTTTTTTTTAACTACTCAGCTGTTAAAGTTATGACCTTTTTTTTTAATTATTTTCTTGTACTTTTTTTTACACCAAACACGTCATAAATTCAACTAAAAATATTGGGTAAATTATAACAGTAGTCTTACATTTTATCTCTTGTATCATTTTGATTTTTACACTTTCAATTGACTCAATTTTTACCATTAATTTTAAATTTTGTGTCAATTTAATCCAATTAATAATGTTATTAGTGTTGTTGACGAAAAATAATCAATAAATTGATTTAAGTTAACTCACTGAGTTAAGTAATTTTATAATTTTGCTTTTAAAAAATATGATACATGCTTTTAAAAAATATGATACATGCCACTTGTATGTATATTTTTCATAACAAAAATGTTAAGAGTTTTAATTAATTAGACCAAATTAAAACAAAATCACAAATTCATGATTGAAATTGAGTCAATTGAAATTATAGAAATTAAAATGACATAAAAACTAAAATACAAGAACTACTTTTGTAATTTGTCTAAAAATATTTATTAACAAACAACGTTTACGAGCATCCCACAAAACACAATTGATAAAAAGAGAAGAAACAACAATTATATATTTTATTGTGTCAATACATTAGTTTAATTTTTATTTTTTTTTTACTAAAAATATATTATTTATCCAAAAGTATCCATATCTATTCAAAATTTAACTATTCACCGATTTGTTCAAACATCACACATAATACAAAAAATTATATAACTCACTTGCATCAAAACTCATAACATATAAAAGAAAACCTATGGATTCAAAAACTTAGCCACTATAAATATGTATTCATACTTTAGAACGCTTCCAACAAGTGACAAAAGAGTCTATACTTAACTCCATGATCTTTCAATCAAAGAAAACACTCTGCAAGTATATGGTGAGACCGTGTATGTACCACAGCGGCAGAGAGTTTTTGAGAGTGTGTGGATAATTCTAGACCTTGAGTTGAATAATATAGTATTGAGAAATAGGATGAATCTATTCAAATCCAATATGACCACTCTTATGCATGCCTTTGTTCAAAAAAACCTATAATCGGTCACACGAGACTAATGGTCAGAGGAAAAACTATTCAAAAGAAAATAACTGTATGACCAACTGTCACAACAAATTGATCTACTAATTTTTTAATTTGTTACCCAAAATCGATAGTCACAATCTATTATTCACTAGTCAGTGCATGTTACTAACAGTCAAAGAAGAACACAACTCATGATGATACCTCTAAAATGGTAGATAAATAAATTATAACAAAACACAAACACAAACACAGAGGAACATATTTAATTTCAAAGAGAAAGAAGAAAATATATGGTGCCACTACAGTATTGTCATATTCAAATCTATTGTTGCAAACAGGGAAAAGGAAGTTGTGCAATTTTCTTTCCATATATGAGGTAGTGCGAAGAGAAAAACATTATGTCTGTGCAGATGCAACCACTAGAATCAAAACAAATGGCAATCATAAATCAAGGTTCTAAATTATATTTGGTCTGACCCGTGAATGAAGGAAACTAAAGCAAACTTTTCAAATACAATTAGCTCTTAAATTGTAACAATAAAGTAACATACAAGTGGTGATATGTTTCGGTAACAAATGAAATACAAAATCAAACATGTCTGATAGTTTGAAATTTAAATTCCAATTTCTTGTTTGTGATGGGCTAAAATAACTCATCATATACTAAAATAGTCAACAAAATAAAACACTCATTACATTACTCTTTTTATTTTTTTACACGTGTTTTTATTATTCCCAAACGATACCATGTAATAAATAATTAAATAAATCGGATCTATACCTAACCCATAGTTTGAATAGTTTTTATTTTTATAATCTGTAACTTGAGAAGCTAACTACATACAGGAATTGATTGTTCTTAGAGAAATACCGTTTAGTACTGTCTTTTCCATTGCGTCGTCCGTTTTGACTCACTTGATTTCGGTGAACACAGGTCAATTCCATTGATGTCTCCCGATTGTTAAATCATGAAAGAGCGAACGGATGTGAAACAAGCGAAAATTTTAAAATTCAAGGAAAATGAACAAATCGTAATATTACTTATACCATGAAATGTTGGTGAATTCGAATCTGCTCCTTCAGAATCCATAGCTATCAAATCAACAATTAATCATCACTATATAACACCAATGACACATCCATATATCCATACATATATATATCATGTATTTATATTCGTGTATATGTGATGAACTCATATCACATCATAACAATTAATCATCACAGTGAATGGATGTGAAACAAGCGAAAAACTTAAAATTCAAGGATAATGAACATATCGTACTATTACTTACCATGAAATGTTGGTGAATTCGAATCATCTCCTTCAGAATCCATACCTATCAAATCAACAATTAATCATCACTATATAACACCAATGACACATCCATATGTCCATACATATATATGTATATATATCATGTATTTACGTTCGTATATATGTGATGAACTCATCACCATAACACATCCATATATCATAACAGTCTAACAGATCCATATAGCATTACCTTGAAGTTGTTGTGTTTTGGTTTTGCGAGAGAGAGAATACGTGTGTGTTTGGTTTTAAAATGCTTTTGAATGATAAACTCATAATACCACATCATAACAATCTAACAGATCCATATAGCATAATCTTGAAGTTGCTGTGTTTTGGTTTCGCACACGCGTGCCAGAGAGAGAGTATGTGTGTGTGTTTGGTTTTGAAATGCTTTTGAATGATAAACTCATAATACCACATCATAACAATCTGACAGATCCATATAGCATTACCTTGAAATTGTTGTGTTTTGGTTTTGAAATGCTTTTGAATGATAAACTCATAATACCGCATCATAACAATCTAACAAATCCATATAGCATTACCTTGAAGTTGTTGTGTTTTGGTTTTGCGAGAGAGAGAGAATGTGTGTGTTTGGTTTTGAAATGCTATTGAATTGCATTCTGAAGCGCGAGGGGTTTATAAGGTAGTTTCTATTTTTTTTATTTTTTATTTCTTTTTATCAAAGTTTCTGACATAGCACCACCCCCATGGGAGTGGTGTGTGGCAACTGTTGGTTGGTTGCATGTGTTTGCCATCATGGTTTTAGATGCCATATATACTATACAGCATGTACTCAACAGCTTTTTGAGGTGCCGAATGAGATACATTTCGTGTGAACCGATTTCCCCCTCGGATCGGCCAGTTTTTTTTTTAGTTTTTATTTTTATCAGTCAGTTCTCATTACATATTAATTTGTAATCGTTACAGTAAACTGGCCGATACGAGAACTGACTGATAAAAATTAAAAAAAACTGGCCGATACGAGGGGGGAAATTGGTTCACATGAAATGTATCCCATTCGGCACCTCAGAAAGCACGTCTCTCTTTCCTTCCTCCGACACACTCTACATCTGTCCTTGAGCTATCCAAGGGATCGAGTGATTCCCCGAAGGTTTGTAACTCGAGGAATGTTGGACAGAACCCGCATATTCGACTCTGAATCTTCCCCTTTGCATGAACTCCCCGCCCTCAGATAAATGCATCAGACCTTCCTTCTTTCCTTAAGACCTTGCGACTGAGGATCAGCAACAGGCACATCTCACTAGCGCATCTCGTCTCTTTCCAGGTTTTTTATTCGAGGAATGTTCACTCTACGCTAGAGCACAAAAGGCTCGGTACCTCTAAAGGGTTGGTGTGGCTAAGTAAAGCTGCTCGAAAGCTTTCATTTCATCGCTGTTTGTGTTCTGCCCTGTTCTTTCTCTAATCTCGTTAAGTACCTGCTGTACAGTATATATGGCATCTAAAACCATGATGGCAAACACATGAAACCAACCAACAGCTGCCACACACCACTCCCATGGGGTTGGTGCTGTGTTAGAAACTTCGATAAAAAAAATATAAAATAAAAAAAATAGAAACTGCCTTATAACCCCTCGCGCTTCAGAATTCAATTCAATGGCATTTCAAAACCAAACACACACACATACTCTCTCTCTCAAAACCAAAACACAGCAACTTCAAGGCAATGCTATATGGATTTGTTAGATTGTTATAATGCGGTATTATGAGTTTATCATTCAAAAGCATTTCAAAACCAAACACACACACATACTTTCTCTCTCTCTCACACGTGCGTGCGAAACCAAAACACAGCAACTTCAAGGTAATGCTATATGGATCTGTTAGATTGTTATGATGTGATATTATGAGTTTTATCATTCAAAAGCATTTCAAAACCAAACACACACACATACTTTCTCTCTCTCTCGTGTTCGCGCGCAAAACCAAAACACAGCAATTTCAAGGTAATGCTATATGGATCTGTTAGACTATTATGATGTGGTATTATGAGTTTATCATTCAAAAGCATTTCAAAACCAAACACACACACATACTCTCTCTCTCAAAACCAAAACACAGCAACTTCAAGGCAATGCTATATGGATTTGTTAGATTGTTATAATGCGGTATTATGAGTTTATCATTCAAGACTTCATCACTTATATACGAACATAAATACATGATATATATACATATATATGTATGGATATATGGATGTGTCATTGGTGTTATATAGTGGTGATTAATTGTTGATTTGATAGGTATGAATTCTGAAGGAGATGATTCGAATTCACCAACATTTCATGGTAAGTAATAGTACGATTTGTTCATTTTCCTTGAATTATAAGTTTCTCGCTTGTTTCACATCCATTCACTGTGATGATTAATTGTTATGATGTGATATGAGTTCATCACATATACACAAACATAAATACATGATATATATATGTACGGATATATGGATGTGTCATTGGTGTTATATAGTGATGATTAATTGTTGATTTCATAGCTATGGATTCTGAAGGAGCAGATTCAAATTCACCAACATTTCATGGTAAGTAATAGTACGATTTGTTCATTTTCCTTGAATTATAAGTTTTTCGCTTGTTTCACATCCATTCACTGTGATGATTAATTGTTATGATGTGATATGAGGTCAATGGAATTGGCCTATGTTCACCGAAATCAAGTGAGTAAAAAACGACGATGTAATGGAAAAGACAGTGCTAAACAGTATTTCTCTAAGAACAATCAATTTCTGTATATAGTTAACTTCTCAAGTTACAGATTATAAAAATAAAAACTATTCAAACTATGCCTTAGATATAGATCCGATTTATTTATTACATGGTATCGTTTGGGAATAATAAAAACACGTGTAAAAAAATAAAAAGAGTAATGTAATGAGTGTTTTATTTTGTTGACTATTTTAGTATACGATGAGTTATTTTAGCCCATCACAAACAAGAAATTGGAATTTAAATTTCAAACTATCAGACATGTTTGATTTTGTATTTCATTTGTTACCAAAACATATCACCACTTGTATGGAAGTGTAGGATGGAAGTGTCATGTGGAATTAAAATCTTAAAGAAGTGTAATTATAACAAATTCATAGTATTCAGTATTTTTTTTTTTTTTCTTTCCAAATCTAAAGGAAAATTAGTGTAATTTATCCATTTTTTTAAAAAAAGATTTAGTGACAAGTCCTATTTTATAAACTTATTTAAGTTTAGATCTTTTTATAATCTCCACATTTTTTCTTTACCTATACCAAAATTCCTCTGCATTATTTTTTCTCTATTTGAGCACCCACTATAATCCTAACTGTACCTTTTCTTTGGACCCACAACCCTACAACATCGTTTATCCAACAGTCCTCCCACCCCCCATCTCCGGCCACCCTCCATTATCATTCCAATGAACCTTGCCCTTATTACAACCCTTCCCTAGCCCCCCTCCTCCCCAATGCCCCCAGTACTTTAGCCCATCTTTGGCGCTAACTTTAGGCCATGTTTATTTGGTGGACTAGATTAAGTTAGATTAGTATTTTTGTCGCTAATAGTCCTGGAACTACGAATCCCGTTAGATTGTGTACCCTATCATATGTTTAGATGCTTAGTCCTCCAATTTATATCCCACCCTGTGGGATTGAATAGTCCGTTTGGAGGCTTAGTCCTCAAATTTATATCTCACTCTATGGAATTGAATAGTCCATCATGTGTGAAAGGCCATATCCGAATAAATTATTAGTCCGTACTTTAATCATTTAACCAAACATCAGATTAATAATTTTATTAGACTATTAGTACCTTTCTAAACCCATATCCACCCAAACAAACGTGCCTTTTCTTCCTTCGTTGCTCCTTCCTGTTTTCATACAGAAGTTAATGCCAAGTCAAAGAAGAAGCATTCAACATTCAGAGTCAAGGTGATGTCAAATAACGAAACAGACATTTGGCAAAGCAATTCTAAGTACAGACTAGATAGTTGACCATGAACCCTTTTTAACCTAGAGAGAGAGAGAGAGAGAGAGAGAATTAACAACCCAAACTCAGATCTCAGTTCTCATCCAATGCTCCTAGCATGATATCTCCTCTTTAGGAACATAGTACAAGATAGTCAGTGCACTAGTATCTCTAGCAAGTTCCACCTCTATAGTCATAGAAAGAAATTTCTACATTCTGCCCTGTGTCATTAATGTTACATTTTCTTGCAGACAATGTGCCAATAAATTCCATGATGTCACTCACCCAAAGACATAAGGTGTATTCAAATTGCAAACAAAGTAAGAAGTTTCTGTCCAAACTCAGAAAAAAAAAAAAAAAAGAACAAGAAAAGTTAGCTACAATACCGAGCTAGAAAGTTAGGATGAAAATGTTACAAGTGATGTGATGGGGTCATCCATCAAATAACTGTTTGAAGAACACTGGATTCAAATCCAAGCTTAAACGTTAAATTTACAATATTTTAAGCCACAGATAATTCTGGTAAGTAGTAGAACATATAGTTCAAAAGTTAGAAGTTCAACATAATTTCAATTATGCTTCGTAGCGGATTTAGTTGATTAATAAAGCAACTATTGGCGTGAGCTGTAAATCTGAACACCAATAACTATTTTGCAGTTGAAAAATCTAGGCTTAGAAATATAATATATTAAATCTTTCATGGCAATAAATGCAAAACCAAAGAGACACTTCTGCAAATTACCTGATCTGCTACTGCATATAATATTGCAATTATACATGGAAGACAGCAGCAAACAGCTATACCAATGACAAATGCCACAGCAACACAGATAACAACAAAGAACACATAAAAGCATGAAATTTACAGATCCATAAGAAACTACAACGAATTAGCCAATAAAAATTGATCAAACATAAAAGCATAAAACTTTTCTCATACTTGATCTACCACGTATCTAATTTCGACCTGATCTAGCAAAAAATAGAATCGAAAAAAGAAGAAAAAAATTATGAAATCAAAGATCTAGAGAACAGATTTGATACCTTGAGGGCCTGAGGAGCAATGTCCCAACCCAAACGCGGTCTCTTTCTGGGACAACGATCCACGTGCGTGTGGAAACTCGATCACGCGTTCCATCTCCATGTTTTCATTTTTGTTTTTGCCAGAAATAAATATAAGCACGTATAATCTTTTCTGTAAACAAAAAAAAAAAGTAAACTGTAAACGTACATGAAATGCGATGAATTTGAACGGTGATTTAGGTTGGAAAACACCATTGTTGAGCCATCTTTCAGGTCGGAAATCTTCTGCATCATCTCCCCAAATGTAAGGCATCCTCTGCCCATGGCATAGGACATGTAGTAAAACACCATCTTCCTTTTTCAGTTTAAATCCATCTGGAAGAATGTCATCTGTTTCCGCGCACCTCCCATCCTTAAAAAGTACAAGTAACAACTGACCAAAATTATAAATCGTTACTATTCTCAAGAATGGGAAAAAGCGTCAAGGATATTCGCTTACTTGTGACTTCCACCAGTCAAAAGGCCACTTGGCTGAAATATATCACCATTGAGAGTGACACTTGGGGTGCCAATTTCTCTATTAAAAGCAACCTATGGACTAGTCATTAATGTGAAAATGAGATCAAGCTCAACAAGGTAACAAAAAACACATTTATTCAAAATACGTAGTAGTTTAGACACGTACAAGATGACAAATTAATTTGGCCCAATGCCAAAAAAAAGATTTAGCCAAGTTAACACTTTTACAGATCAATAGCATAACCTTAAACCAAAGTGCATATGTTTCTAAGATGTTTGTCAAAAAATAAATTCATTCATCAATTCTAACTTCTGAGAAAAAAAATCCAGCACCACATGCTCTTTGATCCTTTTTTGCAGTGTTCTTAGTGAACTACAGTACATTTAAATCAAGACATAGAATCAACAGTTGCACTCAAATATAACATGACCACAAAACATAGCAGCAGAGCAACAAAAGAAAACATGTCATCTTCAAATGGAAAATATATATTAGAATCATCTATACAAAGGCACCTGAGGGAAAAGGATTACTGAAAAAGACTTACCTCCCTCGCTGCATTAATAGTTTTGCACACAAATGTTGAACCAAATACACATTCCATAGCACTTTGCAACACATATCAACTCTCTTTAAAAACAAAATATAACTAACCCAAGCCAAAGTTCTTTTATCCAACCAAAAACAAAATCGCACGAATGCGAACAAGATTTTGGCCCATTAAGAAAGGCACATGCTAGAAACATTCCAGCACACACAATTGAATTATACCTTCAGTTCCTGATCATATCCAACCAGAGACACAGCCACTTTTGCATTCCCCTTGTCTGACAAACACAAACAAATATGGGAGTTACAAAAATGTAATGAAAGCCAAATACACAGACAAACCAATCTACCAGAAGATCAAAAATAGATTGAAAAAATTGAAAAAAGTGAGATTGAAAAACAAAAAGATCAAAGTGAATGAGATTCTATTGAAAAGAGAGCGGACCAAAAATAGCAAGTGAAAAGATAAAAAAAGAGCAAAATTCGAATGAAGAGAGGCCAGATCGAAGATCTAATGGAGCAATAAAGAGAGAGGACCTGAGGGATGGTAGCGACAGGAGAACCAGACCTGAGGAGGAGCTTCAACAGGCACATCCAATGCCATCGCGCTCGAGCTTTTCTTGGAATAGAAAACCCTATCATTTCATCGGTTGGTTTCCTCTTGCTCCAACTTGATCGGTCTCGATCTCGGTCTCAGTCTTGGTCCCAATCCCTATCTCGATCCTGATGATCTTGATCTTTCTTCACTCCTCGGTCTCATAACCCCGTCGATTTGTGCAATCAACCGAACCATCTTCCTCTGCAAAATCATCAGAATCAAAATCAAGAAAACCAAAAAACCATCAAGAAATTTCAACAAAATCGATGCAGGAATCGATGGAATTAGAATTAGATCTGAACCCCGGTGAATCTATCAAGGAGCATGAGGAGATGGAGAAAACCCTAGATCTAGGATGAAGAGAGAAAACGATAGAGAGAAATGGGGAGAGAAAACAAAATGACGGAAAGAGAAAACACTAGAGAGAAATGACCGTTATAAAGTGAAACATGCGTATCTTTAATTTCACTTTAGTTCTTGCAAAGCGTTTTCCAAAAAAACATTGTCTAAAAAACGTGGTTATAGACAAATTTTGTTGTAGTGTTTGTATTACAAAATTAATGTAAATATTTACATCTCTATGTACATACTATGTTCGTGCTAATCTGGCTATTAATATACAATTAATCTTCGAAAAAAACAAAATATATGTGAATGTTCACAATAAATAACAAACATACAGCTAATTTTCAAAAAAATAAAACTCATATAAAAATACAATGTGAATATTCACAATTTACAATTAACATACAACTGTTCTTAAAAAACTACATTCATACCAATGTAAACATTCACACTACAATGTGAAAACATAAAAAAAATTCAAAAAAGTGAAATTGACTGCTTCGATTGTTCAATGGTAACAAAAATGATTGTTTAACCAATTTGTAATAAAAATAACTAACATACAACTAACTTTCAGAAAAATAAAATTCATACCAAAATATAATGTAAATGTTCATAGTTTACAATTAACATACAATTATCCTTAAAAAAAACTAAACTCATACCAATGTGAACATTCACACTGCAATGTGAAAACAGGAAACAAAATTAAAAAAAGTAAAAAAACGCCTATTTCAATTATTCAATGACAATAAAAATGATTGCTCAATCAAAAACCATAGTAACAATCAATATATAACAAATCATCAAACAATATATAAAAAAATCATCAAATATTTCATATATATTGATGCACCTTTTTAGAAAAAATATGTATATAATCAACTCCAGCATAATACCAGCGAATAAACTACACAATATCAATGACTATACAAACTGACGAAGAGACTATGTTTTATGTATAACAATAGCAAAAAAACGACTGTCCACTGTTGATTTACGATTATCTCTGTTGCGAGTCCATCATCATCTCTATCATTGGTCTACATATATAACTAACCTTCTCTTCCAAATATTCTTCCATGATAAGACCTTATTGTAAAATAATGGTAAAGATCTTTGATCAAGTGAATTCCTCACATTGAGGCAAATAAAATATTAAGAATAACAAAGGATGTTCATCCTTTCTACTCCTTCCTATCATAAAGATATTCAAGAAATATGTAGATAGGCCTCACCCATCATCCAACAACAAGAGATAACATGTGATATGTGCAAAAGTTATCAATATGGACAAAATATGTATAGAAATTAAAGCTAGGAAACACCAAACCAAAGAAATAGATAGAAACCTACATTCATTGTTGATAAGAGTAACTTAATACCCAAACCCATACTATTAATTGGAGAGAGAGCAGATTGCCATAATTTCAAAGCGTAAGCCTTATAAAGCTAGTGAAAGCTTTATAGGGTTTCTAAGAAAATAGGGAAAAAGAGAGGGAAAATACATAAAACTCATCAAAAGTAGCTAAAGACTAATTTTCTTACTCATGGAATATGGATGTGAAATCCATTTCCATGTTCAAAATTGGTCGAGAAGAGAGTTTTCAACACTTTTTATGAGGAAGCCATTATAGCTTCAAAGAAAAAAGAGAGAAAGAGAAAGATAACAAAGGATCATCAAAGAGATTCTATGAAACAATCACAAATACTTATTAAGATTGAGTATGGATTGGATCACATGAACCAAAACACTTGCATGATGAAAAAGAGTAAGAAAATGCATGAAAGTAAAGAGATTACACTATCTAACAATTCTATTAGAGGGTGACAGAGCCATCCACATCCAAAAGCTAAAACACATGAAAGTAAAGAGAAATTATACTATAATCCTATGGATAGGTGGCAAAGCCCTCCACATCCCAAAGCTAAAAGAATTACATGAAAGTAAAGAGTTATATGAAGGTAAAGAGAGATTACACTACAAATCTATGGATGGTTGACCAAGCCCTTCACAACCCAAGGAAAATCACATGTTACAGCCATAAAAACTATGGAAAAGAAGAAAAAGAAGAGAGAAAATGATGAGAAAGACTTCAATGCTTACCTTTTAAAGTAAGGAAGAGCTTTTGATGACCAAACTTGCTTCAAAACACTATCAAGGTCCTTGGATATGGCTTAGACACTTAACAAGAAGCCTCAAGATCAAGCTTGAATGGTGTTTTGGGTGGTGTGTATGAAGGGAGAGGTGGAGAAGTTGGAAGCCTTTAGAGCTCATGGTGGGTTGTGCACTCAATCAATCTCTAAGCCTTTGAAAAATGAATTATCTCCCAAAGAATGAGGTGGAGAGGTGTATTTATAGACTTTTGAGACAAAATATCCGAGATATTTGTGTGAAACTTGAGCAAGAAGCCAATTTTCCCAAAACTGCTCTGTTTCCCGGACAACTCATCCATCCGAATAAAAAACATCCGGCCAGCAAATTATTCATTTGGCCAGCACTTTTTTTTTGTATGGCCATATGAAAAATCATTTAGCCAACACTTTTTTTGTACAGCCAGTTCAATTTTTTGAAAGGGAAATGCATTAGGTAATGTTCATATATTGAAATATGTGAAAATATTTAAAAACATATAGTAAAAAAATGTATGAAATTATGTCAAATGTGTATTGAAATTTTAAACTTTTTGACATTATTTGGTTTCTAACGAATTGCCAATGGATAGTTATTCACAAGACTCCTTTTCAAATCATAGGATATATATATATATATATTTTTTGTATGTTCATCAAACCTTGAGGGTTTGTCTTTGGTATTTTGCTCTTAAAAATATGATAGAGGAATATTGGGCCACAAAAATGAAAACATAAACATAATGAAAGAAAATAAAGAAAAAAGAAAAGAAAAGAAAAATGTGCAAATGAAAAAAAAAATGTTGGTTTTAGGAATCCCAAATATCATGTGTTTCCATCGTTTAATCAAAGTATCTTAAAACTTCTGATATCTCAATGGAATGTTATAATCCTTTCAAATCAATGGATCCTTATTTGGTTTCTATTTATTTATTGTTTCTTTTCAAAATTTGGAATTATTAGATGGAAGGTTTAGTGAAGGTGTGAAAGAAGAAAGAATCAAATACTACAACACCTCATAGATTCTTGCCAATGGTTATTGATTCAACCTCAACTCTTTCATAATCTATTTAACAAGTCAATATATATATATATATATATATGTATTCTTATGTGAAGACATATGTTTGTCCTAAATTATATATGCAGGTATAAAGCCCTTTGTGACTCTTCTTCAATTTGATGTTCCCCAAGCTTTGGAAGATGAGTATGGAGGCTTCTTAAGCTCTCGAATTGTGTAAGTCAATCATGTTAATTTCATCATATGATCAGTCTGTATAACTGCCTATCCAAGACATTTAAAAGTTGTTCATGAATTTTTAAAGAACTTGATGATGTGTGTACAGCTAGGGATTAGTTGTCATTTTTTAGTTATTCATAGTAGTTGTTAATTAGATTAGTTGTAGTACTTAATTGTAAATCTTTTCCTGTATTGCCTCATATAGCTATATATACCTCCATATTGGAAAAGAATAAAATAATCTGCTATATTCCAACATGGTATCAGAGCATTGATCCTAAAACTTTTCCTCTCTTTTTTCTTCTGCGATTTTACCCTAACATATTATCCGACCAATTCCGATCTGGTCTGAAAAGTCTGCCGCTGCCACTATCGCTGGAAACTGCTTTACGGCCGCTACTATGCAATCTTTCTGCCGATTATTGCTATTCTTCCTATTTACTCTCAACATGGGTGATGAAAACTCTGTTGCTACCCCTTCAACTACTGTGACTTTGCATCAAGACAACTCTACAAATCACCCCAGACAAATTGGATGGCTCAAATTGCTCCACGTGGTCTCAAAGTGTGGAGGTGTATTCACAGGAAGAGGAAAAGTGCAGTATTTAACTTGGAAAAAAAACCTAAACCCAATGAAACAGATGCTGCTTACTCTACTTGGTTGGAGGATAATGCCATGGTTAAATCTTAGCTTCTTAATTCAATGACCTCTATGTTAGATAATGTCTCAATGGGACCACATAATTAAATGTGGTGTTATCATTTATAAAAAGCCTACAATTTAAGTGATTTAATTTAGTTAATAGGCTTAAGGGTATATGTGTTATGGACCTAACGTGTAGATACTAGTTGTATAATTTCTATTTCTATGAGGGGCAGAAATAGAAATTAAAACATATTGGTTAAAGTTGGTTTTTATTACCTTTCAGTTTTAAAACCAATAATGGTTAATTTATTGGTTTTCATTACCTTTCAGTTTTAAAACCAATAATGGTTAATTTATTGATTTTCATTATCTTTCAGTTATGAAAACCAATTACAACCTTTAAAAGGTTATGGTCCCTATTCCTTCCTAAGGTGAAAAAATAAGAACACTGTTTGCTTTTCTAAATCCTCTCAAGGAGAAACATAAGGCACCAAAGGAAAAGGATTAGAAGGCTTTAACAAAGTCAATATCAAAGGTTTTATTGACAATCAGACGCTTCCGTTTAACCGTTCATCGATGGATTCGGGTTAGTTTTAGTCTTGTTTTCTTGATGATATACATGGTAGATAATCCGAAACATGAAGTTTCATGTTCTGAAATTTATGTTTACACTCTAATGTTAGGGTTGTGTTTCTTCGTCTCCCTACTACTCATGATGTTTGGGATGCGGTTTCCCAAACCTATTTTGTGGGCAAGGATGATGCTTCACAGATGTATGAACTCCGATATCGGTCTCATGACACACGCCAGAATAGTAAGTCTATGGTTGATTACTAT